TATACCTGATAAATCAAATAAACAATTCGATTTCTGAAGAATAATCAAGACTGAATATTTAAATTCTAAGTAGAAAGTAATCAAGAACTTCAAATCACCTAAAATCAAATTATTATTTATAATTTTTTTTTTCACTCTCCCTTACTTTCTACGACTTACTATATTAGAGATTATTTTTTCTAAAATTCTCCACTTTTCATTGATATATTATAGGTATACCTTCTGACTATTATTTTCGGAAATTCATTTTCGACCTAAATAAGTATTTTTCATGTTTTCTCCTTGTTTCAATTATCAAATTCTTTCAAAACTTATATTTAGCCTTTTTTCATTATAAATATCAATTAGAAATAGTTAATTATCTAAAATAAACCAAATTAAAGGTACTTTAGAGGAAGACATGATGAACATTGGGTATTTAAGCCCTGTAAAGTGACATCAATGGGGACAAGATCTGAATGATATTAAAGACCACTTAATTATACATTCATTATCATATAATCGCATACTGATTTTAATCAAAATTTTTAGAGCCATTTTTGAAAAAATTGTAAAAATGTGTATAACCGTTGATATAAAGTGCCACTTTCAATTAGTCGATTTTAATGAAAAAGTTGCTGTCACATCCAAAGCTTATATTTATCTTAAATATGTAATGTCAATTCAGTACGACTTTTCATTTTTGAGCCAAATTGATCACATATATACATACGAACCATTTTGCGGGACTTGGTTATTTAGACTCAGGGGTCCTCAAAATGTGTATTTCCATTGAATACTCAGATTCAAAAATTTTAACGATCGCAATACTTTCACTTATTAATTCTAAATGCATTGTTATTTTTCTATTCTTGAGAAAAGTATAGCATTGTAAATAAAAAAATAATTTTTTGTTTGCCCAATTGTATTACAACTCTCATAATACTGCTTTTCATTTCCTGCTTAGTTCTACCTCCTCTGTAGATTTTTTAAATATAATTTTTTCGATTCCCTGAGTATCAATTTTAAACTATATATAAAAGAATATATCTATATATTTAAGAATATATTTATTAATATATCTCATCTTTGTCCTACAATTAACAATTATTTTTATGTAACATATTTAATGAATCTTATTATAAAAAACTTAAGTCCAGTATAAACATTCTCATTCATTCAATTTCTTAAATTTTACAACTAGTTGATTTAACATATTCACCCTTTGAAAACGCAATATCATCAATCAAATCGAGCGAAATTATAAAATATGTTGCATATTTTAGAGGAGTTTCTGGGTTTAAATAATTAACTTTATGGTTACAGATCAGGATTTGTAATAATATTTACTTATATTTTGTTTACCTAATATCTTTACACATTTATGGATGTGATTGTAAAAACAATGTAATGTTGGGAAATATATGTGAAATGTATCATCGATATCTGACTTTGTTTTATTGAATTTGGCAAAATTATTGATCATTCATATAAGATTAAAAAAAACAGCTGTTTTTTAATTTTGATTTCAAATTTTATAATAATCAAATCTTTTAATTTTGAACTAACCTTATTTGTAGTCAAAACATCCACTTTAATAGACATTTTTTTCTGTTTTACATTTTTAATTCAAAATAATAAATGATAGTAAGTAGGTTAATTATTATTTGTATATTGTCGATAATGAAATAGTTTCACTGAAGAAAAAAAAATTGTAAAAACTATAATCTGTTGAAGAAATATAATCTATTTAATTGTTTTGTTCATAAAATATATTTACAAAATGAATTACAACATAATATTGAAAAGTGGTGGTAATATGGAACAGGTTAGTATCTTGGTGGTAAATTATAATTAGTTAAACTGAGGTTCCATATTTTCTACACTTCAAGTCAAAGGTGGCAGTTTGATTTTTTTTTAGATGAAATTAAATTTTGTTTATTTCTTGATTGGTGTTGAGAAAATTTGAAATTTATATTATATGACAGTACTTGTGAACAGTTTGGTCTTTATGGACTGCTATCTGCTAACGTTTATAACCTCAAAACTGATAATTGTGATAAGGCACTGATAATCTCTATCTTCATATGAAATTCAAAAAAACAAAAACAAATGTTTTACAACTTTTATTTTACAACATACTTTTGTATACAACACTTTTATTTTACATCATACATATACAATAAGAAATATAAATATAATAAATATATTGTAATTTAATAATAAGAAATATAAATACATGATTTTTTCTTTTATAAAAAAGACTCTCACCTACTTCAACGACTTTCCCAGGCCCTCCAATTTTCTTAGTTGATCTGTATAACATGGTATAGGCACAAACCTCTCTTAAAAATTTCATCCACATTATGATACATCTGTCCGATAGTTTCAGCTGCTTTTTGCCCCACTTTATTGTTGTCAAATTATGAGGCCACCCATAAATTAATTTTAAAGCGGTTGAAAAAGTAATCTTTGACTCCTCTGATCATATCCCTTTCCTTATAGATACGTTTTTCTTACAATTCTTAAGAAAGCATCTCCATTTCGTTTTTCGGTCGAACTTCATTTCATGACCTTCATCACTATATTTCACCTTTGCAATTATCCCGGTGTCTTGAAACATTTGATAGACAAATATTTATAAGATAAGGAGGGAGGTTTACTAGAGACCAGACCGTTCACAAGTACAACAATAGTAATGGCAACTGAAGTACAAAAGTTCTAATTTTCCACCACTTCTTATGTTGAGTATATTGTAATATTTTCATTTCTATCTTTTATTATTTTTCATCAATGTTACTGATGGAAATAAAATTGTATCTGTTAACATATATATACACTAGGAACCATTGTGAACATAATGGATAACAGTTAAATATAAGAAAGCCACTCAGGTATCAATAATAACAATATTTATCATTTATAATTTCAAATACATAACATTTATCTTTAGGACTTTAGTTTTTAATATATATATATATATATTTTTTTTTTTTTAATTATCGTGGTATTTGAAGAAAGGATTTTTCTCAGGTGCAATTGATTGTTCAAATTGTGTCATGCTCATTATACAAGTTGGATGTATATAATATTGTAAATATTTATTGATGGAATTAGATGTATATATGTTAAGTTCTTTAAGATCTATAAATAATTTATCTATAGCATACATTCTATTAAATCTACTGTTTTATATAATTAGTTTAAAAAGAAAAAAAAAAACAAATATGAACCGTCTAGATTTGTAAGTGTCAATAAAGAGATAAAAATAAAAATTTTCTTTAGAATTGATATTCTGTTACTGTAACCTATTTATCATTGTTCCAAATGAGCTATTACAAATTTTCATATGTTATATTTATAAATACAAGATTTATCTTTAATGAAAAAATATTTCAGTCAATGTATAATTATAGAGAACATATAAATCTGTCATCACCAGTGAGACACGATCAAATCAGCCTAAGTGCCGTCTTTATAAAACTGACACAATCAGTATTAATCTATACTTCAGAGATGTCAAATCTCTTAGTTCAAAAAAGGAGGAACAACATACCTTCAAAAGAAATAATTTTAACCATATTATTATGATTTTTGTGTACCTGTTGGGCGCCTAATTCAATTTGTGATAACGTCATTTTATTGAAATCAAAACTTCTTGCATCAATTCTTGATTCATTATAATTTGAGTTATCCTGATGGAATAAGAAACCAACTTTATCTCATAGATTGGTATCCCGATTAAAGAGTTAAATGTGATATACACTTTTCATAAAAAAAAAAATATGTATTAAAATTTTCTGTTACAAATATTCATGATTGGGGACAGTTGAAAAATAAAATTTATTCCAGATGCATTTGCTTTTTAATGTTCTACATTACAATTAAAATCTCAGAAAATATTATACTATTATGAAAAAACAAAACATTAATAAAAAAAAATAATGCATATTTAAGTACATATATGGACCCATCATTGATTACATAACAACATGAATATATAATATATTTACTTAATCTTAGTCTAATAATTGCTATAATAAGTTTTAAACATTATCACAGGCAATGTAGATCACAAAATATTAACAATCATCTACTTTTAGTAGGTGTTACAATATAATCTTCAAATCACAAAATTTAGCCCAGGAAAAATTTATTATAATACATGGTCATTTAAATATATATATTTTTAAATATTGTTTTATTAATTCCACATAAACGATCAGCTTAATCCAATACAATAAAATGTTTTCGTCCTCTTCTTCATTCGATATTTTTTTAACAACTGAAACATACAATTTTTTTATATTATTTTATAATAACTAAAAATTGGAAAGAGATTTATATTAAATATAATTTACTCAGCAGTTAAATTAATATCAACTTTTTTTTCTTAATAAATTGGAAATTATTGTTAACCATTCCATAATAGACTCTCATACTTAGTCATGATCACACCTAATTAACTATTTAGAAAAATTATAAATAAACTATATTATTCATGGTATATGGAAGAAGTTACTTCATAAAAAATCCACAAATTCACAATACTATTCACTCTAATCACAAAAGATGGATAACTTTATAATTTAATAAGAATAGAATAGATCATCGGTTTATTGCAAAAAGTCACTTAGTGACATTTCATAACCTTACATAATAAAGAACTTTGGAGAATTTTCTCTTTAAGAAATCAGTAAATTGTGCGCATTCTGTAACTATATTTGATATATATATATAAGGCTTTGTTTCATTTTCATGAACTTCGAGTGTTTTTTTTATTGATAAGTAAAGTCAAAATTCACAAAAACATATTAGAAAGTTGACCAATATCAAAAATTCACTTAATGAATTTTTGCAATAAACTGACGACATGATGCCTTTGAAATATAAACTTATTGTTTTAAACAAAGTAAAATCAGAGTCAGTCCTCTTCGAGCGGCATGAAGGTCTATTAAATTATCAATATTAGTACAACAATTAAGTTATCTTCATCATTTCTTTACCTTTTATGAAATTCATTAAGCTTTGATCCTTTCGAAGTATGGTAAGACCTCCAAAGGAGCATTGTATTTCCTGAGAGTAGTTGGGCCTGTATACACCTTTCCAGTGTTCTCGTCCCTCCATGTACCACGAGGCAGGTAAATATCTCTGGTCGTTGCACCTTGCTCAAGAACAGGGGCTACCAACAAATCTTCTCCCAACAGGAACTCTGTAAAAGAAAACAAAAATAGTAACAAAAAATTAATCACGTAAACAACTAAGTCATATCAACATATTAGGTCATTTCATATGAAATGTCCGTTTTTTATTTCAGAAATTCAAAGTGATAATATTCATTAGCATTCCAATTAATTTCACATTGTTTAGTATGCCATCAAATATGACCATGGAAACATTTTCGAGTAATTTTTTTATGAGTTTAAACTGGAACACTTGGGAGCCCAAGCTTCAAGAAACATTATGTCATTATGAATAATTTAATTCTGCATGTTATTTTAGATAGTGAAAAAAAAAAACACAATAAAAAAATTTTAAAAACACCATAGGAAGAATACCTATACATGTGCGCAAATGAGCTAAGAATTTTTTTTTTTGCCGATTGAGATAATTGAAATCCTCAGACTACTAAAGTATCCAAGATAGCACAGTGAATGTTATTATAATTATATCATGAACTAAGTTTAATTCTATCTCTGAGTTTAAATTATAAGGTCTATAAAATGTTTACAGGGCACCAACAAACAGAATCTAGATTTATTTAGCTTGTTTTGTTGTTTCCAGTATTTAAAATTTTTTTTCACCAGTTTTAACATTAACAATGTGTTTTAAACAATAATCCAACAAAATTTTCTGATATTTGACACATTAATGAACATGTTTTTAATGAGATCTCAGTTTAAAAGAAAATAAACTTTAAAAATGTAAAAATTAATTGTTTACCTGAGCTGGTTACGAGAGCGATTTTATCTTCGGGATCAATCCACCAGATGGGATTGATAACTGGATGACGGGGGTCTTTGAATTCCTTTAAGATTCGTTCTGTATAAGCATGGTGCAAAGCAGTGAACTTTCTTGTGATTTGTACGGTCTGAAAAAAAAATACCAATTAATAATAATTAAATATTGAAAAGTATATGTTAATTGAAAAAAAAAACTTTAAAAACCAAGTGCCTTGATACAAGACCTAGATAATTGAAATTTTTCTAATTTTCATTTTAATCCATTTTTGTCAATGAACAATGTTGTTTTGATTAGTACAAAAAACAGATACCAATGTGACATCATTCGCTGACATCATTTACATATATATATATTAATATCAAGGAAGGCTATCGTCGATGAACAGGCTAATATTGATACTTTCAGATAGGCAGCAGATATTGGTGAAGAAAGAAGCTAGCCTATTTCCAAGGAAATCACATCATGGAAAACCACAGTTTGGAAGTAGGAAGCAGCTTTTCAGTACTATAATTAATGACAACTGGAAGAAGAAGAAGAAGTGAAGAAAAGGATTATTCTGAACAGAGAGTATTTTGATATGTCCAAAATACTGAGGAGTAGGCTGACCAATTATACCACTAAATTCAGGATGTATAAAATACTAATAAGAATGATGGTAATTAGTGAAACCTGGATTATGAATAAAAAGACCAGCAACCTATTGTATCAGTTTAAGAGACGGATACTGACTAACATCATCATGACGTTGTCAATTCAAAGGAATAAGACCAACAATGAGGATTGTCTCAATGTTGACAGTACGTATGACTGCAAGTCTTAAGATGAATAGAATTCTATACATTTTTTTTAAACTCCAAATATTGATCTGCACATGTAGATGAACTGTTGATAAACAGCATAAGGTCTGATAAAATAAATGGAACTAGCATGTCAAGTATGGGGAAGGATAGATCCTGCAGTACCTCTTCCCTGACTTGTTTCAATTACCACGGTTTGTTAAGGAAGGAGATCTCTCATCTAATGCCTTTTTAGTCTTCTCCTTGTATTGATGGGTATCTCAATTGCAGTCATATCTCTTATTAGTAAGTTAGCATGTCCATGTAAATTAGTATGAAGTTGTTTGTAAAGAGTCCTTATCTGTTGGTCAACTGTTGGCAAGTCATGAGGTAGGGTTTAGTTAGTCACGTACCAAGGAGCTTTAGTTGCGAGTCATAATATGTTTAATTGGAAAGTTTGAAATTTTTGTTTGCAGGTCTTTTTAGCTATATTGTATATCTGTGAGGAGTAAGTCCATATAGGTTTAAATAAGTTTATGTATGTCTTGTTTCTGTCTCAGTTCAAGACAGAAATCATCAAGAAGTCAATCAAAGGTAAGTCCAAGATATTGTACAGTGTCTTTCTGAGGAATTAGCTTGTTTTCGATATAAATTGGAAGGCAGGTATTTCTTCGAAGCGTAAATGTAATGAGTTTCGATTAATTGTGGTTTAGTCAATTTTTTTTAAATCAAACATTTGTTTTAATTTTCAAAATTTATCATCTAAAATGTTATTTATTTAATGGGTAGATTCCTATTGATACTTAATGTCTCCAGTATTGTCTTTACTCTACAGATTTGCAGTCAGTTTTAAATAAATCTTTTGCTTTGTATGCCTTTAGAAGTATGTATCGTAATATCAAATGTGTGACAATATTTTATTTTTTATTACTATGGTTTATTACCTCATTGTCAAAAGACCACGGACTGAGAGAGAACTGAATGACAGGGAGGAAGGTGTTGACTTGTATCCATCTTATGAAGAGCTCTTTGGAAGGCTTGTCGTTGTAGCAATTTCCTCCAACCATGTCGGGTAGGATAGCTCCGTAGCCCAACAGGGAAAGCTGAAGAACTGATTTAATAACTGAGCGCAGTCCCAAGTTTTCTGAACTCCAAATGGAATTGGTATCTTGAAGCCTCTGCATGATTTTGTATTGGAAAGATTCTGAGCCAACTCTCGCTTCTGTTAGGGTACCTGAGAAAAAAAAATATGAATCAATAAGAGTTTAAAAAATTAATAACGGTCTGATCATTAAAATGAATTTTAAAGACTATTTTTTGAACATAATAACCCTTAGTAGTAGAGCTAATAACACCAGTGTAAAAAACTATGCAATCTTATAGAAACATCTCTCTCATACACTGGAACAAATGAAATAATTCAAGAAGAAGAGCCAAAATAATTATAATTATTATTATATAAGTAACATCATTTTTAAAATTGATTGTATCTTCTGGCAATTTAATGTGATCAAACATTTTTACAGTTGTAATATTATTTCACTGGATGAACGATATTACAACTCATTTAAAAGTCATTACAGTAAAACAAAATACTACAGGGGAAAACATTTTAGTGGCTTTAAATCAAAAGTGGAAATCTGTCATTTTCAGGAAGCTGAGAAAACCGATGTTTGTTATATAGCTTTAAATTTAAATAAATCTGAAATTTAATTTTATAATCCAACTTAAACATTTAAGAAAATCATCATAGTTGGATATACTCTTATAGAAAAAATTTTAGTTATAAAATTTGTGGTCATGACCTGGAGAAGCTTCACAAACACTTACAGTTAAATTTCTGATTGACACCAAGGAAGGTGATGTTTGGTGGGATTGGAAAGGAATTGTTCATCACTTGCTGCTCGAACCTGGGAAAATCATTAATTTAACTTTCAACTCTGAAAAACTAGTGCAATTGAAGCTGATGATTAAAAAATAAATGGCCAGAATTGATCAATAGAAAAGATGTTGTATTCCTTCACGGCAACGCTAGGCCACACACATTTTTAATGTCCCGGAAAGGATTGAGAGCGATTGGCTGGGAAATTTTGATGCATCCACCCTGTAGCCAAACTGTATGCGTCTGACAACTATATCTGCACAGCTCTCTTAATGATGTAAAGCTGGCTTCAAAAGAGGATTGTGAAAATCACTTGTTTAAGTTTTTCGCCCAGGGAATCTCAAAACTGCTACAGTGATGGAATTACGATTTTATCACAAAAGTGGCAAAAGGTCATCGATCAAAACGGCACATATAGCATTAGTTAGTGTTGGAAATTTATATTAAAAAATTAGCTTTGAAAAAATAGAAAAAAAAGGAAATTAATTTTTCCTCAACTCAATACTACGAGAAATAAATATAAATATTTACCAAACTGAGAAGTCATTTCGATATAGTTGGTAGTGTATTGGTTTGGCCGATGTAGGGTAACTGCTTGCTCTTTCATGCTCATTCCTGGAATATAAGCTGCTTCACCAGCATCGAATTTGAAGCCATCGAAACCGTAATTGTCCAAAATGCCCTGTAATCTTTTAGTGTACCATTCTGTAGCTTGAGGATTGAGGAAATCATAAAGTGCAGCTCCTTCTCCTATAAATAAACAGTTCATATGTTTCAGAATAAACTGATTATTATGATACAAATAATAAGTTATAACTTTGACAAGATAACAGATCAACAAAACAATTATTCATTAAATTTAATATATATTATGACATCAATATATACCAACACCTTCAGTCTCACATATTTTATTTTATACCATCCAGAAGCTTTCAGTATCAGTATTTTCTTACACTATTTTTCATACTAAGTTATGAGAATAGTCCGCGGTAGAGACCTCTTTTAAAAAATTATTAACATCCATCTAAAACTTCCTCAATGGCTTCATCCTACAGAAACCTACAACTTTTTTATCCACAAAAATTCTCAGAAATGTGACATTTCTCATTAAATAAATTTAATGAAGTCCTAAACACTCATGAATACATACAAATAAATACTCTCAATAATCACAAAATCAAGAAAAAGGTTGCCTAAAAAAATATTGGACATTCAGTCTATATAACCTTGTTATTCCGACATGTTGTGGGTGGAGGTCACACCAAATTATATTTTTCCTAAGCCACAGATGAAAAGAAAATGGGCGTTCATGCCTTTTTAGTACTTCACTAAATAGACAAAGTTTACTTATCTTCGGATTGTAAAGGGCCCATTTTTGTAAATAAAAAGTTGTAGATTATGATAAGATGAAGGTGTTCACAATATTTAAGAGGGATAATTATAATTTTATAAAAAAGGAGTCAATATCAAGTAATAATATCCGGCACCCATTCTATACATTACAGAGCCCGAAATTTAAATCTTCCATTCAATTCATTCCCACCCAATGCCATACTTCTGACTTCTACCCTCCTCCCCACCAAACTGCTGCATTTAAAAGTCCTTTCTAACTTGAGCAGCCACCCTCCCAAACTCTACCCCATCCCCCATTTCTCTTAGAACGATCGTCAACGGTTTCCTCATTCAAATCTCTCCTTTTCAACTATCTTTTTCTTGCCTAGTCTAATTAATATTATTTTACATGAAATTGCTTTTTCTTTTATTTCAAATGTTTCTCAGATTACTTTCTTATGTTTTTCTTTTCTTTTTTTTTAAATGTAGTTGCTTTAGTTAGTGTTTTAAGTTTTCTTTTTTTTTTTTAAATTCTATATTTCTACATAATTTTTATTTTTATTAATGAACTGAAGCTTACACGACACTGAAAACTTTCTTAAAACAACTTGTAAAGTAGGAAGTCATTATGAGAAAAGTTGATGCTTCGAAACCCTTGGTGATAAGAATAAAAAGAGTAGTTGACCAACCTAACTCGTATAATAGTTAATATATCAAAACTAAAGACACTGAGCCTATGCCGTATTCATTACAATTTATAGGATACATTTTCATTTATTATATATTTCTAAACTGGTTAAACTTTTTTAAATACATAGAATCTTTCACCAAGGGAATTTAACAGTTTTTAATTTGTAGAAGTGAGTTTTTAAATAAAATTATTGAATGTTGTTGATGAGTTTTTTTTTATAAAATTGATCAGGAATGATCACTCACCATTCCACCAAGATGTTATACCCACTGAACCATTGGGGTACTTCATAAGGTGTTGGCTGTATTTTTCATACATGTTCGGAGGGCATCCTGGTCCGAGGAAAGGATGAACCCACAAAGTAACAAGGTGTCCTTTAGCATGGATCTCATCAACCTAAAAGAAATAATAGATCAATGTCATTAAAATTAATAATTAAGTTCTTTAGAAATTGTGTTATAACTGGATAAATCCAATCACAGAGTATTTTGTCTTTAAAATATTCATTCATTCAGTATATGTTTGGATGCCATGGAAGTATGTGATGCCTGAATTGGTGAAACATTTATGGGTTGTTCTTTACAAAAAATGTGTATTTTATAGACACAAGTCTGCGTATATAATACAGGTAAGTTAAAATTAAAATAATAAATAAGTATTCACTGGATTAGGTGGAGATGAACCTCTCCCCACTCCAAACCAGGTTCTCTCTCTATAACCCACATCCAACAACTTCACCAAATCCATAAATCCATGCAAGAAAAATTTTATTTATAATTTGCATAGTAAGAATGTTTAAATACCATTGCTTTTGGGTCTGGGAATTTCTTCAAGTCAAATATCTGAGTTCCGTAGCATGTTTCCCAAGCATCGTCTAATTCAATAACACTGGCGTTGAATCCATGGCTGGCGATGTCTTTTTCGAATTGTATGAATTTCTTTTGGTCAATTGGTCTTTCATATTCAACCCACGTTGACCAGATGGGGTCAGCGATTACTTTTGTTGGTGGTATAGGCTTGTCATAGGATGGGAAGAAGCATTTTAAGGCCTCTCTTATATTTGCAGTATTACCGCAGGTGGTATAACTGAAAAAATGTAATAAGCCATAAAAAATATAATTCATGATAATTATTGACATTAAAAAAAAAAAATAGAACTGTAATGAGCAGTAAAAATTTTATCAAAATTTTTAAATTCATACAAATGTTTAAAAAAACAAATATAAAATACTTTAGGTATGATAAATTTACAAATAATAAAAATATTGTTCATATTAAATTGCTTCTAAAATTAAATTTTAAAAAAGATACAGAAGCTAGATACCCGAGCAATATTGCATCAACTGACAATTAAAAATAATTAAACCATTAATTACTTTTACAATGAATTAATTTTTTTTATAACAACAATTGATAAGAAAGAATATCAAATTAATTTAGAAAATTGTTTATAACTGGAAGGATTAAATTTTGCTGAAATCTGATTCTGTAAAAACATGGTACAATTATTTTATGAAGATCATGTTCACATTCCTTGATTGTATAAAAAAACTTAATTTAATTTGCAGTAATTGACAATTAACTCAATTTCACAATAAAACTTTAGTAAATTACATTTCTTTTTTATGCCCATAATCCTTTATTTACTTGTTCTAGATTTAAGAAATGTTGGAAATTAGAATTTTAAGCTATAAGTATAAAAATTAAACAAAATATTTTTATCAAAGTGCTCAAAATACACATTAAAAAAAAAAATGATATTTTTGATAATGAACTTTTCAACCATCGAAAGTTTAAATATCATTATTTTTTTGGCACTGGAACCTTCCATACAACCAATTATAATCTCATGTAGTTGTATTCTTATTCTTTATTATTTCTTATGAGAGAATCATTATAGTGGTGGGACCATTTATCAAATTTTCTTTAATTATCAGAAAGTAATCTGTAAATGGGAGTTTGATGTATGTAACATGAGGTATGTTAACAGAGGTTTAGCAAGACGGTCTACTTCATCATTTTCCAGTATTCCCATGTGCACTTTAACCCACATAAATGTTATTTCCTTTATATTGCTTATTGCATTTAAGTATTCTTTGAAAACATTAGCCAAAATGTTATTTTTATTTGAATAATGAGCTCATTCTGTCAGTTAGTATTATAAATTTACTAGTTGGCCCAAGCTAATAATTCACAAAAAATTTTGTTTAGTGAATGAATAGCCAAACAATACGGAAATAAGTAGATCCTATGTAATATCTGAGCTAGGAATTCATTATTTTCCTTGGTCGATTACAATATTCCATTTAACATAGTAGACCAAAATATTTGTACAAATTGCTTTGCTAGAGCCTATTTTTAAACGCTGACTGGAAAGATAATAAAAGTAATAAAGAAAAAAAAAAAAGCATCAATCATGGGATTTTCTTAATTATTAAAAAATATAAAATGTAAGAACTAACAAATGCCTTTATGAAATAATAAAGTTAATATATCAGCCAAGAAAAAAATTGTAGTAAAATAATAAATGCAGTATCTTTAAAAATGAAGAAATTATTAAGTTTACCAAAATTAATGGACCGTATTTTTGTAAATAATTGTTCGATATTTACGTTTTTTTTTGTTTATAGGTAATTTAGTAATATTTCTAATAATCATGGGTGCTATCAAGAGAAGAATTCATACTTTTTGAGTTATTTGCAAATAAAGTTTCTTTTCCTACTTAACTTTTTTTCCAGAAATTTCGGAGGGATAGGACTATTTTTTCGCATGTGAAAGAAAAGAATATCTTAAAAATGAGTGGTCAATCACTGAATTTGATGAAGAATTGGCATAGTTATGGCGTACAGACAAAAAAACACCTTTTAGAAATAATAAATAGGATTTTCACTAGATCTGTTTATAAATTCGAGAAAAAGTTTATTATTGTCAATTAAGTTATGATATAACTAAAAACAACTTTAATACAAAGTTTAGAACATTTTAATCTATCAAAGAATTATTTTTAAATGAACTTACATCATGCTGATGGGGGATTCCTTTGAATAGGGGAATTCATTTTTGGCTGTGAGGCAAAGATGTGCTTCGTCCTGACTAACAAATAGAGGAACCTCTGGATCCACCCTAACGTTCAAACCACCTGAGGTGTACCAGTACCTTTCCAGAACACTCTGAACTCTGCCCTAAAAGTTATTAAAAATATTAGGAATAAGAAAAGTTATATAATTTATACTTGATAAAATCTAACAATAAAAGTTAATTCCTTACGGCTCTGCTATAATCTCCGGTATAAAATGGAATCTGTGTGAAATTGACACGTTGGGCTGGATATTTATCCAAAACCATTCCTCCGTAGAGTTGGTGGCCTTCCAGCGGGAAGCAGACGTGGAAAGGTTGTTCTGCTTCTATGCTCACAGTCCACATTCCCTCTTTAGGTGCCTTGGTAATAAGTAGCTGACCTGACTTCTCCCAACGGACGCAGACATCATCATTATTTTTGGCACAGTCCTTAGGATTACCAGCCACACCATCGAAACTCAGGTCAAAAGTATGCTTCAGTTCTAAAAATAAAAACCAAATTAATCTAAACTTCATTTCTTCCTCGTTGTATAAAAATTACATTTCAATTAATTAATAATTGAGTGTTTTAGTTGACAGCACAGGCGGTTCTACAGGGCGGATCTATAGTTTACCCCAAAATGGTAAACTATAATCATGTTTTACAGTAAGAAATATTTAAAACTATCTGTTTAAGTATTCTTGTTCGTATAATTACATTTAATAGGACTTCAAGAACCACTTCAACACCATTTCATATAGGTAGTTAATTTTTTTTTTTTCAAATTAATTATTGTTATATGTATATGAAAAAAAAATCTTTCGGGCTGAAGCCCCCTCCAAAATGAAATGAAATGAAATCAATCCAAAATGAAATCCGCTAGTGGTTGAAAGAATAACTAATTCCAATTTCAACATATTTGATTATTTCTAATGATACTTCCAGTGGAAAATGATATTTCTACCATCTAGAATCACCTATTCTGGAATCATCTTACTCACTGTATGTGCAGATATTATAATTTTTCCAACTAGAAATATCACTGAAATGACTTTACTCAAAAGTGTTGAAATTAGAGTCAGTCATTCTGTCAACTGAAATGCTCAATTAATAAATAGGACTCTTATTTTTCATCACAAAAAGATATAAAACAATAAAACTTTTTATTAACAATAAAAACTTTATTTGTAATATTTCGGTCTTATTTTGGCTATGTTCAAACATATCACCATTATATATTGTTTACCATAGAAGTTCAACTCAAAACTAATGTAATATTTTTTCTTGTTGGAGGCTAAAGAAAAATACATATTTGATTTAATGAGACAGTTAAATAATTATCTCAAACTACGCTAGCTTTTTAATTACACAATATCTCAAATTCACTGAGAAAACATATCATTAGCCAAGAATTTCTGGTTATTAATTACATGGCACATTCATTTGTAAGATACAAAATTATTTTTGAAAAATTTTTACATAGCACCTTCATTCACTCAATGTTAACAATAAAACATATTTATTACATCTATTTACTTAAATAAATATATTTAAAAACTATATAAATGATGATTTGAGTTAACATACCGCTCTTGGCTCCAGAGAAGAGCGTAACATCAGCAGAAGACCTAGATGCAAAAACCTGAGCGTACGGAGGACTGCTGATCTTCTCCTTGAATAAAGCTGTCGCTCCTACAAGTAACAGCAAAATGCCCACTCCCACTCCTGTGAAAACTGCAACAAATGTGACATTATAAATATTTTATTGTAAATATGATCTTGTTATAATTCATACCAGTTTTTAATATTAATTTCACGAAGATTCATGTTCATGGACATACATTCTTAATCCTAAATAACTTAAATGTTACAGTCCATTTTAAACTATAGAAGGAAGAACTATTTGGTATCGGGGTGTGTGTGCAAATCAAATAAAATGCAAATAAGAATCCAAAATATTAATATTTTAATTTTTTTTAAATGGCACTTGACAATCTTTTTACAATTTTAAACTTGATTAAATGGAAATAAAATATGAAGAACAATATTTTTTTTTATATTATTGGACTTAAACAGTAATAGAACTATATAATATGGAAATTTGTTAAAAATGCCATAAATTTTTTATAAGTTCTCACAATAATACTGACATAATAAATTGAATCGTTACTAGATAATACAATGATCATAATTATTAACAATGTTTTGTGACTTGTTATAGATAAGTTGGAAATGAACCAATTAGCTCCAAATGTTGTAATGAACTAAATGAACGGAAAAATTATAAGGGCAATTCAATCCTTGAAGACACAGCATGTTCATACTTTAATTCAGATTCAATATTATAAAAAATACTATTTGGCCTGAGTGAATGATTTGCATAGTATATTGGACAGTGAACAATTGGGAATACAACATTGGAATGAATTTCATGACTAGAGGGAAGAGATTTGTTTGTAGGGAGTGATCCTATCCTAGAAATGGCCGATAATCAAGAGTATTATCGATACATCGATAGTTTGTAAGATTATTAATTTATTTTAAATATCATGTGATAATTTGATCGGCACGATGTTGTAAGGATTTTTATTTATTTTATTTTTTATTATGTAGTAACAATTTATTTTGATAACCTCGTCGGCGCCAACTTAAAGCTACGAAAGTTCAACTTTGGACATGGATCTAATAACTGTTATTTTAACATGGTGCTGATGAAATGTTATGATAATAAATTGTATAAATAAATAAAAATCCTTACAATTTTACAAAAATATAAACAAATTAATTTTAAACATTTAATGTTATATTTGTTCGACCCCTATACCAGACTGAAACGACTAGAACCTGCCCGACGTTTTCTGCTCTAAAATTTCAACTGATTACAAAAGACTCATAAATAAATTAATAAAGATTCATAAATACATGCATACTGATACAAAATTAGAGCGTATAACAGATATTCTAAAAAAATATATAAATAAAATAACGTAAATTTATAAGAAGTTACATTTTGAAAATATGAACTTAAGAAGTTTTATGTATGTGCTTTAAGTCTGAACAATTTTCTCTGGTTAGAATCAAATTATCGAATGGAATTTCCATTTAATTTATGAAAATGTAGAGAAAGAAAGTGACAAAATGTATTTTTTTTTTCTAAAAGTCATAGTGACAGTTGGAAAAATGGTGGATAATGTGACAAAATCTGATGTCATTATTTGACAACATAGTGACATGACATGGTAATTATTTTAAAAAATTAGATAAGTTATTTATTATGAAGATATATTAATTTCCATAGCTAATCTAAACCAAACTAAATAAATGAAAACAAATCTAAATACTAAATTACCCCCATGCCAGACTGAAACGACTAGAAACCGCCCGACGTTTTCGTCAACTCCGGCACTTATTAGTCAAATGCTCTAAACTTCCAACTAGTTACAAAAGTCATATATTACTATAATAAGGTCTATTTGGACTTACGGGATCGAGCTTTGGGGCTCTACTAAACCATCAAATTCCTCTCGTATCCAATCCCAACAATCCAAAATCATTCGTAAAATCCTCAATGCTCCCTACTTTGTCACAAATAAAATCATCCATAACGACCTTAATGTACCATATGTTTCCGATTTAGCTCAATCCAGATACCTATCCTTCCATAATAAACTTCTGAACCATCCCTCTTGTTTCCAACCTTGCATCCTCTTCTATTCCTGATAACCCTCCGAGGCGTCTGAAAAGAAGGCCTCGGGACCTTCTAATATAGAAATATAATTGGAGTGCTACCAATGGGTAGTTTCTATTCATGTTGTACATGTTTCATATTTACTTGTTCTATTTATCATTTAATACAGTTGTAAATTTGAATAAAAAAAATATTTGTCCGTTTTACAATAATTATGTAGAACTTTAACAAATAATTAAAACCCCCGCAATTTCATTTTTGGTCCATCGCCTCCCCCACCCCAATCAAAATCGAAAGCCTCCGGCTATGCACACAATTTAACGTTCTTTAATTTCTTAAAGAGTATATTTATCGTTGATTGAATTTCAGTTTCCAATCTGCCTTGTTTGACTTCAAACGACATTTGTAAAACATCTTCTTTAATCAATTTGGGAATAAATTGTTTTTAAAAAGCCACGACCCAAATGAGCCGTCGCGATTGGCCTTAGGTCTACCGATCCACTACCTGGAAGTGCAATTGACCACTATTCTTGGAAGGCTGATTTCCTATTCTCTTCTAGGTCCCACTCATCTCTAGCTATCAATATTCAAAACTTTATTTAAGATGCAAATGGAGTATTTTGATTTCGGCTTTCTATTCAGATCTGTAACATCGCGTCTAATATGAATCGTTCATATTAGACGCGATGACGTGAAAAGACAAATGGTAATTCATTTGAAAATACCTGTTGATTGGGACCAGCATTGAAGTTGGGGAAGACTTATGAATAATGTTTGCGTTAGAGAAATCGATTATATATAAGTTTTAGATTCCATCGATTTCAACAAGTTACATGTCTACACATTATGTAAATGTTTGTTTTTATATTTCATATCCCCAAATGCAGAATGTCCCGTTAGCAGAGAGATGATTATATAAATATTTAAAGGGATGATATTAAACATCACTAGCGGATCCAGGGTTTAATTTTGTAGGGGGGAGGGGAGGGGACTTCAGCCCGGAAGCCTTTTTTTCTTCATATATATAACGATAATTACATTGGAAAAACAGAAAGATACTAACTGCCTATATGGAATGGTGTTTAAGTGATTTTTGAAGTCCTATTAAATGTAAGTAAACGAGCAATAATACTTTAAGACATATTTTTTACCATAAAACATGATTACATTTTACCATTTTGGGGAGGCTTCAGCCCGAAAGCCCCCTCCCCGTAATACCGCCTGTGTTAAACATCAAGGACTACAAAAAGTTCATGTAAATAACCGGCCAATTTCAGCATAAAAGTAGGAAATTTACTTTTGTATTTTTTTTTTGGCTCATTTTTTGTTGAAAATAAAGCGATTACTAACAAAATGATTAATTTAAAGGAATTAAAAATAACTTCAAAGTAAACTAAACCAATTTTACTTCAAATTGAAACAGAGCTTGTCATGATTAAAATAATTTAAAGAGGGCTCTTGAGCGGTTAAACTAAGCTAAGTTCTGTTTTTAAAAAATCAAATATTATTCGCGATTTTTATTTTAATAATCCTTCAACTATACCGCAGATACCCAACTTTTTGACCTTTACCCAACTTCCTAGTTTAATAAGTTTTAATTCAATATTAATTAAGTTGAGGTTTATTAGGTAAAAATTTGAGACTCACCTCAAGTTGTGTAAAACATTGTGTGATTTTATATTTTTTGTATTTTAAAATTACCCGTGTTTTCACCAAAAATGACTGCAAATAAATTATTGAAAAGCTTTAATTTTTTACGTTTTTTTTTTTTTTTTTTTTTTTTTTTGCCACTTGGGATGTATAATAATAAATATAAATGTGTAAACACACTGTTTATTTTTCTTTAATTGTGGCTTGACGTTACAGGATTGAAATTTAGAGAAACACTTTATTTTCATAAAAATATAAAATATAAAAGATTGCTGCCCAATTATATTGGGTTGCTATATGCACAGCATACTCTTCAATCCTTAGGAAAATAAATGAACTTATATATAAATATACAGAAGTTTTTTTCCTTCATTTACTTGTTCATGCTTTTTTTTTTTTCAACATATTCCTTTATTTTTCACTTGCATTTCGATCTTTTATCAGACCTTCATCAGGCTAGGTAAAATAATAAAATAAAAAACAACAATATAAACTGTTGCAAATAATAATAAAACCTAATTTAATTATTATTTAATATAATAATTATTTAAAATCCAATCGTAATAAATTAATTAATATAAATTTTCAATAATTTTCCGTCAGATAAAAGACTTAAACCGGTTGCGTAAAAGTGAAAAATAAAGGAATATACAGGAAGACAACGGCTTTTTTACTAAATTAACACTTTTTATTTTTTAAAAAATCTTTAAATAATGATTTAAGCTAAGTTCTGCCTTAGTTTAGTTTCTCAGAAGTCGTCTTTAAATAGTTTAAATAGTTTTAATAACGACAAACTCTACCCCAGCTCCCCCCTTTTTTTATTATTTCGAAATTAGAAAATTTATAAAAAAAGGTTTTATGTAAAAACAAAATCAATTAATCAATTAATTAACTTGTGTTCAATTAACGTAAATTATTACTCTTATCTTAGCCTAATTACTGTTTATTTCATCCCACGGTGAAGAAAATTTAAATGATAACGAGGAATAAATTTTGAATCTATGTTTGGCAACTGCCATGGTGGTAATACCTTCTTTCCTGATAAACAATAACGTGTAATTTAATTAATTCTCACAGGTTTGTTTTGGTTTTTTTATGTTGTTCTTATTAATGAATTTTGTTATCTAATACCATCGTAATTCTAACAGATTAATAGAATCATTCGTTGATGAATCAAGTTAAAAATTAACTTAAGTAAAGAAGAAAATTGCAAATAATGGATGGAGCAAACGAAACAAAAATATTTGTACACATTATTAAGGCAGACGAAGATAATTATGTGCTCGTGTAAATTTCCGAGAACAGTTATGGTTCAATTTGCGTGAAGGTTATAGAAATTTGCAAAACAAATTATTATTAGCTAAATTTACTATTAAAAATTCTGTTTCCGCAATAGACGGTTATCGTAAAGTAAGAATCAAAATAGATGAAGATATTAGTAAGGAGTATTTTAATGAAGACGATAACATTTGTTTTCATAACATTCCATTAGAGGAATCGGTTGCTATGGATACCGGTGTGAACCCAAACATATCCAGTCAAGATTTTATTTTAATTCATAAAAAAAAATATTTAGAAACTAAATTGAGTTCTAATGAAATTAAACTCCTAGAGGTAGAATAAAAATTATTATAGACAAATTTGATTAAAAAAAAAAAAATGCTACGTAATTGATTGAACGTTATGAATCTGAATGTCAGAGAATTAACATTTTTAATATAACCAAGATTTTCTAAATCTTTCGTTTTTTTGCAGAAGTCCCGGCTAAAGATTGTTATGAAGCAAATTTAAAGACGATAGGTTTAATAAATTGGTCAGCATGGAAACAATTATGTTTAACAGTTTTCAGAGATAAAGGTTAGTCTCAAATTAGAAAAGAATACTAGTTGTGGCACAGAACCCTTTTTTATCAATATTATTAACATCCGGCTAAAATTTCGGAAAAAGAACCATCTGATCGTAACCTACAAAAGTTTTATTTACGAAAATTCTCTTAACTGGGGCGTTTTCAATCTGGAGGTTGGAAAACTTTGTCTATTTAACTAGGTACTAAAGACTCGTAAATACCCATTTGCCTTCCACTTGGATTGTAAGGTAATTTGATCACAAAATCGATAAGAAAGGTGACCAACAAAAATATTGGGCCGTTTGGTCTATATAACCTCGTTGTTTTGACAATTTGGGGGTGTAGGTCACGCTAAACTGTTCAATATTTTTGAAACTTTTTTCTAGACTTGGTGCTCAAGTTATATTACGATTCAAGTGGAAAGAAAATGGGTATTCGCGAGTTTATACCATCTAATTAAATAAACAAATTTTGCCGACTAGCAGATTGAAAACGTCCCAATTCCGAGAATTTTCGTAAATAAAATATTTGTATGTTAGGATAAGACGAAACTATTTATGAAGTTTCAGGCGGATGTTAATAATTCGATAAAAAGGGGCCTGTAACTCGGATTATAAATCACATGGAAGATGAATATAGAAAAACAGAAGTTTTATAATTATTAGAAAAATATAGGCATATGTTTGCTAAAAATAAATTTGAAGTTGGTAGAGTGAAATCAAGAGAAGCTGAAATAAAGTTCATAAGACAAGATTGGTTTCACGGGCATATAAATGATTTATACCGGACGATTAGGAGATAAGGATGCAAATTCAAAATTTACTAGAAGCTGATCCTATTGAGGATTCGGATTCACCATTTGCATCACCGGTAACCCTTGCATTTAAGAAAGAAGACGATCGCAGAACAAGACTGTATGGAGTGGAAGATAAAACATCGTTCATGACTAAGTTCAGCAAATTTATGTTTAAAGTTCTTCCTTTTGTACTTAAAAATGCCCCTGAGATATTTCAACGGATTCTTTCTATCATGAAAAGAAGAAATTTAGACGAATTTTGCGTCAACTATATTGCTGACATATAGGAATTATCAAAATCATGGGAAGGCCATGTTAAACATGTTGAGAGACTTTTACAGGTGATTGAAGAGAATGGTTTCAAATTAAATTTGAAAAAGTGTAATTTCTCAGCCAATTCGGTGAAATATCTCGGTCATATAATTCAAGAAAATAGAATATATATAATATATCCTGCTCAAGAAAATTGTATAGCTATAAAAAACAAAACAAAAGACCAACAAACAAATCGGAAGTTAGAAGTATATTAAGTTCTTGGAGGAAGTTAATCGACTGTTATACCATGGGTGATAAATATTCAGGACGCAGTCATCATAAAGTTTTTATTATTAGTGACGACGTTTCAACCCAAACATGTAACTCATCTTCAGGACGTGTTTCAAGCACCAAAGGTGTTCAAGTATTTAGGTATTGTATTAGTATTAATTCAAGTACTGAATATATTGAGTACTTGAATACCTTCAGTGCGGGAAACCCGTCCTGATGATGACCTACACGATTGGGTTGAAACGTCGGCACGAATAATACAAACTTTATAATGGCTGCGTCCTGAATATTTATAACCCATTATATTATTATTATTATGACGCTACGGTCCTGCAAGAACCCAGGCCTTCTCTACTACAGCCAACCAATATCCACGGTCTGCCCATTATATTAGGTTCTATAATGTTTATAAATTTATTTATAAGATTGGGAGGCTCATTTTATGGGGGAGGGAGGCTTATGGGTCATTTTAGCCCTTACAAAATATTTATATTACATCAGATGAAATTAAATTTAACAATAAATTGAAAGCACAAAATATTTTTTTTTTTAAATGGTCAGCAAAATTTAAATTTTGTTGTATAGGTGCGTTATTTGAAGAAATGTAAACAATTTTTTTGACAATGTTTACTTAACATACATTGAAAATAGTGCGGAGAAATTTTAGCCAATGGATTGTTTGTCGAAAAATAATATCGAATTTACATGGATTGAAGAATGTGGAAATAAATTTAATTTAATAAAAACCTACTTGGGTTCTCCAATTTTAGCCATTTATGATAAAGATAAAGATATATAAACGGACGCAAGTCACATGGTTATTAAAGCTACTTTAAAAAAACCACAGCCTGGCAGAAAATTGCAACCAGTAGCATACTTTTCGAAGAAGCTTTCGGAAAAAGAAAAGCATTATTAACCTATTTATTTTGAATGTAATCCAATAAAGGATGCTATAAAGTATTGCTAACATTATTTAGTTGGGCAAGAAGTTGTTGTAAGCAGATGTACAAGCCGTTAGAAAATTTAAAAACTAAATCAAGAACAGCTGAAATATTGGGTGATTTGATTCATTATTTATCTCAATTTAATTTTAAAATAATGTACAAAAAAAGGTAAACAAAATATTTTAGTAGACCTTCTATCAAGATAACCTGTTTTAGAATATTTCGAAAATGAATATGTAATTTATTAGAACTAAATGAAACCATTAATGATCAAAATAAAAATTTTAATTCGGCTTTACTTTATTATGCATAAATGCCTTTTATAAAAATAAGACTAAATACCAACCTAATGTGATAATAATTTCAGAAAATTATCTGATATTTTAAATAAAATTGTTGAATTTTAAAACAAAAATAATATATTATTTTAATATCTTATCAATTATAGATTTTTAAAAAAAATGGATCACTGTCAAACCCAAGGAAAATAGTAAAATTCTTGACGAAATTTTATTAATTTATCTTGCATCGTTTCGGCCCTTTCGATTTGTCTATTTTCAAAAAAATGTATCCTATATTTATCATCTATAGTCTAAACATGTTTTTATAAATCTCTATTTTAAATATTAGTTATATTTTATTATTAATTTAAAAAAAAAAATCTTAGTAAAACTACTTTTCTTCAGCCGCATAGAATAAATTAAGAACATATATAAACAATAATATATTTAAATTAATAATAAATAAAATAATGCTATATTTTTCTACTACACTTCTGGACTGCTTGAACCTATACTTTAGAATTATCATTATTAACAATTTACGATATTAATTGTTTCAATGAATAACTTTTTTATAACATTATATGCGATACAAATTCAGTTCATATGTTTCTGTTAATAGTTTATAGTACTTCTAAATATAATTTATTTATTATACCTCATAAATATTATATGATCATGATAAATATGATCATTTAATTTTTTTTTTTTGGATAATTTTCAAAGAAACAAGACTAAAATTTCTCAAAGCAATAAAGTTAAATGTGGTAAATAAAAAACGAATACTTTTTTTAGTGAATTAAGAACAGAATTAAATACTAACATATTTAAATTAGTAATGAGTAAAATTAGACTAAATTTTTTTAATGTTGTGAATTCTTCGAACCTATACATTAGAATTATTATTATTTACAATTTGTCACTAATTTTCGTAATTTATAAATTACTTTTTAATGTAAAAAGCATGTTAATTCAGTCCATTGGTTTATTTTAATATAGTATTATATTTTAAAGAATAATTGTTTTTTATTTTTTTTAATTGAGTTATTCGTCCTTTACAGTTAAATTAATATATATATATATATATATATATATATATATATATATATATATTTTTTTTTTTTTTTTTTTTTTTTTTTTTGAGTCGCTATCAATTAATTTTTTTTTAATTTACTAAGGAACAGCACTAAGATTTCTTGCAGCAATTAAGTTAAATTCGAACAGGATAAGTGAAGAAAAATAAATATTTTGTTTTTCTTTAAATGAAATGTAATGAGTTATCTATATTAAAATAACTAATTTTTTTTATTATTAAAATATTGGCAATATATATTATGATTATATAATAATATATGATTAATATTAAGACATACCTCGCCGTGAAATAGCTCGCATGTTGGACACCCTACTGACAGGAGACACCGCCATGTCCTTTTATACCGACCCACTGAGCGATAAGAGATATCTACTCACCTCTTAGCGCATGCGCAGTCAATCAATACTGTCCTTCCAAGACCGCCTCGTTCGACTTTATTTGAAAATATATAATCAAAATAAATATCATAATTAAATACATCATCTCAGAAACGCCATATTTAGTATTTTCACGATTTTCTACAAAAAAAAAAAAAAAACAATAAAAACTATATAATATGAAAAGCTTAGAAGACAAACTTCTGCAATATTTTTTTATATTTGTGACATTTTTTAGCGAACTATGGAGCATTAAATGTTCAGAACAAATCTTTGAGTTTTACATTTCGTGGCCTAGGTTTGAAAAGGTTGTAACTCCACCTACTATAATTTTGAGAAACAGATCTTCGAAGTTTCAATTTACACTATATTCCGTGGTACAGACCCCTTTTTAGCAAATTATTAACATCCGGCTGAAACTTCGTAAATAGCTTCATCTCATCGTAACCTACTAATATTTCATTAACAAAAATTCTTGGAGTTAGGGCGTTTTCAATCTGGAGGTCGGCAACCTTTGTCTATTTAATTAGGTACTAAAAACTCGTAAATTACCATTTGCTTTCCACTTGGACCATAAGATAATTTGATCACAACATCGATAAAAAATATTGGGCCGTTTGCTCTATATAACCTCATTATTTTGAAAATTTAGGGGTGTAGGTCAAGTCAAACGGCTCGATATTTTTGAAGGCCACCTTTTTTCACCTAGAATTTTAGTATAATATATCTTTCCGATTTTTTTTTTAATCATGAAAATATTACATAGGTCGTTTCTGAAAAAAAAACGATTCATATATGTTACACACAAAGAATAGTTCTTTAGTAATAGTATAAACTAGTAGGCCCGTGCGAAAAATTCGCACAGTATACTACGTGGATCAAATACAAAATAAACTGCTTCAAAGTACCATACTATAAAGAAATCAATCGATATGTTCTCGATAAATATAATCGAAAAAGGAAACAAAAAGTAATTTAAAACTTCATTAATGTTTGGAACAACATGTTTACAAATTTCAATAAGCTGTATCTTTGCTAAAAATTGTCGGATTTCGATGTTTTTTTTTCCTTTTGTAGGGAATTTAGTAATCTTATATATAATCATAGACATAACCATATCATATCATTCCCTATAGCATAGGGACAAATGTGTAATTTTTTAGTTAAAGATACTTTTCTTTCATAACTTTTTTGCCTGTAATTTCGGGATGATTGGAATATTTTGCCCGCCTGAAGGAGAAGGAAGCCTTCAAAATTGGTTGCTCATTCTTGAGATTTGGAGACGAATTAACGATGATGTGCCTTTTCGAAACAAAAGATCTCCGATAAATGACATCAACTCCTCCTCTCTCGATCATGGAGGCCTCAAGTCGACAAAATGAGACATGTATTCAATGACAGTACTACAATTAACGTAAGGTTGTGTGGATGCAAACCCTTTGGCTTGCATTATCTCGAAAATAGTACGTTTGTGGGCTTAAGAACGCAGGAAAGGAACTATCTAGATCTTGCTGTTCACATCAAAATCTTTAAAAACTTACCACCGTTCCAGTATTGAAGCCTAGCAAAATGTTTGTATCGAATTTATTTATTTTTTAAATTAAAACAAAAGCGGAGAGTACGATTCGCTAACCCTTGTGAAATTCTGAATCCAACGGCACCGCATTCATGGTATTTGAGCATGACAGGAGCTTATATTTGGTACAAAACCGATTTCGAGCCTTACTGTAATAATATATGTGGGGATGGGGATAGGGATGATATAATTTGATGTGTAATTTTCAGTAAAATAGCGTTAAATCAAATACAGCTACATGGTATATCAGTTAGAACGTTCTCAAACCAATTACTTTCAAAAGTTGTCAATAGTTATAACTATGTCACACTGCTAGTTTCTTTATTTTTCAAATTATGGCATTAACATTCAATTTGGACATAGGTAACTTTGTTGTATATGATTTCCGAGTGAAGATTCAATTTGCCAAAATTTCTTAGAACCTTTTCAGACCAAGGCCACAATTTTTCTGCAGTAAACCATTATTTGGTCCCTTTTCTCATTGTTTTTATATGCTTTATTAGGCTTGTGAATAATTTGAGACACAAGCATGTGGATAATAATCAGGTCTAAGCATTAAAAATTAAAAACATTTGCATAAGAAATAAAATATATATAGTGTATAAATAAGTTAAAACAAAGAGATTGAAAGTACACATAAGACTTAACATAATAACATGATTGAATAGCAAAAATATTAAATAAATTAAAATAAAAATATGATAAATAGTACAAATAAATTAATTATATAATAATTACAAATAAATAAAATGAAAAAAAATGCATAAAACAACATGCCTAAGAATATATTTATATTTATATTACTATTATTATTTATGTTTATATTACAATTATTATTTATGTTTTATCATTGTATTTTATTCATCTTATATACTTCTGTTTAAATTTATATTTCTGATATTATTTTTATTTTTAACTACATATATATTGAATGGCCGACATGCTTGGGTTAAAACTTCGGCAGGCCTAACAAACCATATAAAGACTGCAAATCATGATTAATTATTATCATAATTTTAAAATAACAGTAAACAATTTATCCAAATATAAATCTACTTTTTTAATCACAACTGCATATTTAAACAATTGGAATACTACTTCTAAAATAAAGAACCTCTATTTTACTAAACATAAAAGGATTGGAAAATATTTAAAAAAATTAATGAGTTGATTTGATACAAAAACAATATTTCAAATATTGAGAGGGTTAAAGATTTTACTTTCATGTTCGAAATATCTTGAATTGATTTTTTCAATCAATCGATTATGAAATATGTGTTCTTTTGCATTAAAAGATAAATCTATGATCAATGTATCCGGTAAAATGATATTTTTTCCTAAACAAGCGATTTGATTGTGTAAATTATATTAAGAATATAATATAATATGTATGTCCTATGATTTTAAATATTTTTACCTCGTATATTTAGAAAAAAAATCTATACTTTGGTAATCATCAAAACGAATAAAACATCATGTCCCTATGAGTAGTAATAATAAGCTGCGAAATAATTTATATATTTATTTATTATAAACATAATTTATAAATTATCGAAAAAAATATTGTAAGATGGCTTTGCTACTCCGAAACATTAGATAATTTCAATTTAAATAATGATAAAAGTTTGCTGTAAAATCTATAAAAATTTAATTAGATTGATATCAATGTATAATCAAAAATGATATATGATTATCATAGATCATTTGATCTATGATAAAGGTGTGAGCTGTTTTGAAAATATTTATTAATAAATATCAATGTAGATATTTACTTGAACCGAAGGAACGATTTTTTTTTTAATTTTTGCTAAAACAACAGTTTATAGTTAAAACATCTTTTTAAAAATTATGAAGGCAAATTTTAATATTTTTTCTACAGTCAATTTATGATTTATGTCCCTTAGGATGTTATGGATACCGTATTATATATTTATTTGAGTTTTTGCACTTCGAATCTGACATTTTGTTTCAACTGAAAGTTGAGATATTTATGTTATAAAAATCTTACGCCAAATAATAATAATAATAGAAGAAGAAACAAATAAAAATAATTTTTTAAATGTTAGATTATTTTCTTGACGTTATTTCCTGAATTTGATTTTAGCATATCTTATTCATTTAATTAAGAAATAGAACATGGCAATAACATAGCAAAAGTTTTAAAACTTTTTTTTTGTGATTGGGTAATAATAATAAAACTCTTAAACTAATTGATAATGACATAAACAATTACTAACTAATCTATGTGACTCACCTATTCTCTGAGGAAATAATCAACTAAACTAAGAAAAATTTTAATTTTGTTACTACTTCTGAAATATTCAAGGATAAGGAAAAACTAAAAAATTTAATACAGACGTAATTAATAAAAAAAAACATGAATACAATTATTCTAATCAAAGCGAATAAAAAAAAACTTATGAAGATACTCATATAGTACAACAATTAAAATAAACATATATCACGAAAAACTGTTTATTGGATAACAAGTATATATGAACCAGATTAATGAAATATTCATTATTTTTATTTATTTATTTTTATATGAATATATAAAATATTACTTTTGTACTTGTATTATGTAAACATTTAAATAAATTCCAAAACATTAATCGATAGAAAATCGGTATATGTATTATTATAATATATGTTACAACACATGGGCCATTCTCGTATTATTTGAACATTTAATGTCCCAGGACTTTACATTCTTCGTGAAGAAATTGTATTATTTTTTTTTTTTTTTTTTTTATTGAAAGGGATATAATGGTGACATTAAAACAAACCTATCTCAACCACGGGAAAAAATATCTGAATATAAATGATGGGAGTGTTACAGTCCACTAGGCGAGGATGCGAAATTCTTCATGCATTGAAATTAAACAATCTGTGTCAATGGGACATTTCACTGTTATACGGTGGTATTTTGAATTATGTTTTTTTTAATTTATCTGAAATATTTTAAGATAAGAGTTAAAGTTGGAAAATGTGTTTTTTCGACAATTATTACAACATTAGTTTGTCCGTGCGAATAATTCGCAGAAAATTTAATTTAGTGAAGAAATGGTAAAACTATATTGAAATAAGTAGTTCCTATTTATTATGTAAGGAAGAAATTAATATATTTTCCTTGGCCGATTACAATATTCCGTTAAATATTTGTACAAATTGTTTTGCTAAGACCTATTTATAAACGCTGACTGGAAAGATAATAAAAGTAATAAAGAAAAACTAATGCCTCGATCATCGGATTTTCTAAATTATTGAAAAAATAAAATGTAAGAACAACCAAATATCTTTAAGAAATAATAAAGTTAATATATCAGCCAGGAAAAAAAGTGTAGTAGACTATTCTACTCCTAAATGCAATATCTTTAAA